CTCCAGGAAGCTGGAAGCTCCATTAAGCCAGATACTGCCACTATCATGCTCATTCAGGAAGAGCCATGGCACCTAATTTGGGGCCGAGCAATAGATGAATGAATGGAGTGTGGGATTCAGTGTTCCAGACCTCATCTTTGGGAAGCGGGGTGCTCAAAGGTCTTCATGGATCTGCACAGGTGGGCTCCTTTTAGAGGAGAATGGATACATTGCTGAATAAAAACCTTTGAGCTTTAATATTTTCCTTCTAAGCCTTTCTTTCAGCAGATGCCAGCTAGCTAATGCTGCCCAACATTTATTGAGTTAAATCTGCACTGGGCTCTGTGCTGAGCATTTTGCATGAGTCAACTCCTTTAATCATCACCATCATGCTCAGAAGTGAGTGTTGTTATTACCTGCTGCAATAGATGAGAGACCTAGGGTTCTGAGAGGTTGAATCATTTGCCTGAGGTTAATCAGCCAACACGTGAAGGAATATTCTTGAGCCCAGGTCTGTTTTCCTCCAAAAGCCAGGCTTCTAATCACTGTATGTGACTACAAGGGTTTGGTATCAGAAAAATCTAGGTTTGAATTCCCAGGACTTACTAGCTATGTTAACTGAGGGAAGTTAGATTTTTGTCTCCTTGCAATCCATTCTTTTTTTTTTAAGATTTATCTATTTATTTTTAGAGAGGGAAGGGAGGAGAAAGAGAGAAAGAGAAACATCAATGTGCAGTTGCTGGGGGCCGTGGCCTGCAACCCAGGCCTGTGCCCTGACTGGAATCGAACCTGCGACACTTTGGTTCGCAGCCCACGCTCAATCTACTGAGCTACACCAGCCAGGGCTGCAATCCACTCTTAATGTTTTTGTTCTCTGAATTAAACAACATGGTCTTTGCCACATACCTAGCATTTAGAAGGTGCCCAACTTCAACTGCAAGTCAGTAAGTGAGAGATAGGGTTTAGATTTTAAAAATTTAGATAATCCTAAAATCAGGATAAATTGCTTTCTTCTCTAATATCCCTGAAGAGTGGGGGAGGTCAGTATATAACTGAGCTTTTGACAGGGTGGGGAACTTACTCTTTCTTGAGGCAGATTAATTAATATATCCTTTGACAACTGAGTTTTGTGGGAAAGTGCTTTGCATGTTTAGCAGAAGTCTGCTGTTCTGTGGATCTACTTGCTGGAGACTACTGGGAGAAAGTCCAGTCATTTTGCCACTGGAGGTACCTTTCCAGCCACTGAAGGCAGTTCTCCTATCCCCACTGTTTCGTGGGGTGGAGGGCGGGGGAGGATCTCACTTCTCTAGATAGGATGATCCCTGTCAATCCCTCCCTACTCTTTGAGACTGGAAGCCTTATTATCTACCCAATCACTAACCTAGAACCAGTCCCAGTGCTTCGGTACCTCCTAACAAGTAAGAACAAAGACTAAGCAACAAGGATGCTTACAATAGCATTGGTTATACTTGCGAAAAATGTAAGGTGACTGCTTAAATAGTCAATGACAGGAGGTTGATTGATTGATAGAAAACAGCATGCCCACAGTCCATATGAACAAATACTCAGTAGCTGCTACCAAGAATGACTAAAGGAATAAGGGTTTATTGACCTGGAACACTGGTTGTGGTGTTTGGCAAATGGAAAGGTAGGCTGTAAAATAGAATACCAATATATGACATCCAATTGGATGAAAGAAAATCTGAAAGTATTTAAAAGGTAAAAGTGTTTATCTGTAGGTCATGAGATGATGGGGGATTTTCTTCTTGTTCTAAATTTTCTATTGGGGGAGGAAGTATAGTTTAGTGGTTATGAAAATGGACTTCAGACTCAGCCAGACCTAATGTTAGTCTATTTTCTGCCACGTGAGAGCTTTGTCACCTAAGTTTCATAATTTGTAAAATAAGTAGATTAATAGTACCCTCTTTTAGTATTGTTGAGAAAACAAGGGGACTGGCTGAGGTTTTGGAGAACTTGCTCTATGTCAGGTACCTGGTTAAGCAATTGATTTGCATGGTCCCAATCATGATCTCATGCTACAGAGAAGGAAACGGAGATTCAGAGATACAAAGGCACTGGCCCTGGACCTCCTTAAAGGATAGGAGATTACTTTCCCCATTCTGGGCACTTCGGACCTTTCAGCGTTGCTAAGCCACAGTCTGTTCTCCTGTCATCCACATCTCCCTGCTGACTCATTCTGGACCCGCTTTGACTAAAACCCCCAGACATTTTCATACTGGCCATGTCCTAGCTATCTCCTAGTTGTGCGTTATCTTTATCTTGGGGGGGGGGGTTAGGGGAGGCTTGAGCGAACTTATTATGGAGCAGACAGGTGGATGACAAACCTGAGCATTCAAATCACCCTTGACTATGAGGAAGTCCAAGAATACGCCCTAATAATTTGGTAGTGAGAAGTCGTTAATCACACCTACTTCACCTCACAAGCCCCAGGGGTAGTAAAATACATGAGCTTTGCATTTTCCTTTTCAACTCAAAGAGTAACTTCTCCCGATGTGAGAATAGGGAAGTGGAGCGGCCAGGACGGGTCCAGTGAGGACGTCATCGGCCTGGACTCCTGACAGAGGCTGAAGGGCATGGTCATGGGGATGGAGTGCAAACCACAGCTTCAGGAGCAGGAGCTCGGGTGCCTGATGGATTTGAGTTCAAGTTCTTCCTTCGTCACTCACCCACTGTGTGACCCCTGAGAAACGAACTAAATTCTCTGAACTTCATTTTCTCATCCTCCAAATGTGGCTAGCAGTTTTTATTTGGTGGAAGGTCAAAATGAGGTCATGGGAGTGAAAGGCTCCACCCAGCACAGGGAGCCTTCCCTTCCCTCCAGAGTGACCCAGGAAACGTGGATGGACAAGAGAAGACAGAGTGGGGAGATCACACGGCCCAGACCCCCAGTGCTGCCAGGGAGAAAGGGAGCTTGGGAGGTCCAAGTGGCCCGAAACCTGGTTCCTCTTCATTTTAACAAAGTTATTATTATTATTCACATTTTATAATTAATGTGTTTGTGGTGAAAAAATCAAACTATGCTGGAGCTTATAGAGGAAATAGTAAAGATTCCTTTTAATAATTACGTTCCAATCCCCTTCCACATCTCCAGAGACAACCACAGTGAAGTTTCCCTAGGTATCTTTCTAGGCATCTTACGAGGAATTTGAAACATGCAGAGTCAGACATAGAGACTTCCTCACCAAGGTCATGTGTGTTCTATGGCTTGAATGTTCGCATATCGTTCATGAGAAAACGAACATGCTGGCTGGACAGGAGAAGAATGGGTTCCACTGTCTCGGTGGTTCCGGCACAGCTCTGCTGCCCCGGGGTGGAGGTGAATGAGTGTAGATGCCTCCCGAAGTGGAAGTGGTTGGGAAACCTCTGGACAGCTGAGCTGTTGCACGTGGTTAAAGCTTCTGCACGTGACTCGGAGCTTCTGTTCTGGGCGATGATATTACCCTAGAGCAGATCTGTCTCCTGGAGTCTTGGTCGCTTGGGCTGGAATGATCCTTCCTCTTCCAGGGGGAAATAGGACAGGCCCAGGCGGAAAGATGGGTCTGGATGACAAACTGTATGAGTCAAAGGTACTTGTGAAAATGACCAACATTATATTAGAACATATGCTGTCTCCAAAGGAGGAAGACAGTTGCTTCTGCTTTCTTTATTTTCTAGAGTGGGTGGAAGTCCTTCAGAGATGATGGTGGATAACGGTTACTATTTAAGGGGTGATATTGGCGTTCATGCTCCTTTTGGCTCCTTAGTTTCATAGAATGTTATTTGGGGCGGGGGAGTGGTCCATTCAAATGCTTTGGGATTGTTGAGGTGCAACAAAAACTACACAGGTTTTCATTTTATAGATTCTCCCCCACCCACCTCCCCTAAGACATTTACTGTGAAATGTGATTCTAACTAAGGCAGGGAACAGAGCCTTGTACCTAGTAGTCACCTAATTGCTATAGACTGATTTACTCCAATTGTTTGTATTCTCACCGACCATTTACTTATTCGTTGGTTCACCAATCAGAATGTATTCGGGGGACACTGTGTGCCAGGCACAGTGCTGTGTGCCATGTGTGGTGTGGGCACGAAAGAGCCTGTGACCGCTTGTCCTTTGAGCTACACCAGGGCCAGGCTTTTAGCAGAGTAAATATTTGAGAAGGGTTTCAAACTAGGAAGAGGGGTTGTCCAGGTAAATTTGGGGGAAGGGCATTTCATGGAAGGGAAGCCGGGGGTGGGGGGTGCGACAGAGGAAACCCAGGAGAAGCGGGGTGAGAGAAATTGTGGGGTTCCTCTGAGCCACTGATTTACTCAACAGCTCAGCTGATTCACAAAGATTCGTTCAACAGCTATATGCTTTGCACTGTGCCAAGTGTCAGAAACACCATGCTGATTGTCTTCTTTTGGCTATTTTCCTAAAGGCCCAGGAAATGGCGTTAAAGTTTAACTCAGCAGTGATCACCTAGATCTTCAAACTATGACAAAGCATCTTTCTGTGTAAGGGGCAGCTCCTGGGAGGGTGGCATTAGAGTTTATGTTCTCGAAAATGCAAGGGAGAATGGGACACAGTCTTTTACTACATTCTCCAAATAGAAATCTAGATATCAGTGTGGCTTACAGCTTTATCTGTTGATACAATGCCAACATGACCAAACCCTGGCTTGTGATAGATCACTTATGAATGCCATTAAGAGATCATAACCATGGCTTTGAATGCCATCTCTTGACTCAGCCCTCGGTCACACGCAGGAGAAATGACTTGCATGAGGTTACACAGGCTTCACCAGACTGTGAACAGACAACGTGGCCGGTGTCCCGGATGCTGCGCCCTGATACCTCCCTAATTGAAATGTCTGTGCCCCACAATCAGTTCAGAATCAAAACAATAATGGGCTCTGCCCTGAAGTCTGTGTTATTGCAATCCCATCTCCTAGCCCCTCCCACCTCCACCTCCTCCTCCCAGGTCCGGGGTTAAAAGGGCAATCAGCTCAATTCGAAACACCCTGCCTTTTGATCTCACCCTGCCTAGGGTCTGTTGCCCACCACTCAGCCTTCCAAAAAGACACACAGTATCATTCTAAAACAGTCTTTGCACAGCCTTTCGCTTGCTCCTCTCAGCGTCTTTTTGGTAAACAAAACTGGAAACCCGGATGGGCCATTAGCAATGAAGGGCAACAGTGGTTTGGCATTGTTTCAGCTAATTGCTGTCCGGAGTGAAAGATTGCACCATCTGTGACAGCTGGCCTGAGGAGTCATCACTGTCTCAGCAGTAAGTTTCTCCGTCTGTGGGGTAGGGACTTCCACGGCTGTTTTGACTAGTGTGTCCTACAGACAGGTCAGTCTGAAAAGGTATTGTAGATACCTCATTGCTGTTGTAAAAGTTAAATAGGACAAAGACATCATGTTCTTAACATCTGCCTGCTCGATTTAGGTGAGGCCTTTAGTTTTCTAGAACCTGTGTATCCTGACCCTTGTACATTTTCCAAATAGACCCTGTGCCTGACTCCATTAGTGTCTGCTGTTGATGGCATTGCTTTCAACACCTTATCTCTGTAGTGGTTTTGGAGGTGGAGAAAAGAGTGATGTGATGTGTGTATGGTTACCCCAAAAGTTCTGCCAGCTGTTAGTTCTTTGCTGTCTGGGGCACTGAGCTCTGGGACATGCTGTAAGGTCTAAAAGGCCTTTTTGGGTATGCTGAGTTATGTTCTTATTTATACTAGTGTGTCAAGGACTGCGACCTTGACTATTTAAGCCAAAGTGGTCAGGGTCCCTAGGCAGGGGGCAGAACAGGCAATTAGATGTCCATATAGATCACTCTTAGAGTTTTTTGGAAATAAGGGATTATAGCAGGGTTGTTTTTTGTTTTGGGTTTTGTTTTTTTTTTTTCTGTCTCAAACTGCCAGGTACAAACCCAGAGAAGGGGGAAGTTAATTCACATTCTTCCTTTCTTCTAAGAACAACAACAACAAAAAAATCCACCGGTCTGTTCCCAGGGGCTCATTTTCCATCTCTGCTCTGCTCATCAGAGAGTCTTGTGAATCTGCACAAAGACTTTGAGGAGGGACTGCTGTCCAGACCTCACTTTTGTGTCCTTGCCTTCCTTCCTGTGACATGTGCCACCTCCTAGCTGACCCGGCCCCACAGGGCTTTGCTGCTTCTGCTCTTGGGACGGGTGTGTTTCTAGTGGTGCAGCAGGCTGGGCCGCATAGGGAAACTGCAGGGGGTGTCTGAGTTCACATCTCTCACATTCCAGGTGAATGTTTTTGACATTGAGCAATGGATTGAGTCCGCCAGGCTAAGGTTCTGTTCGATTGGAATGTAACCGAAAAGGAAAGTCCCGGAGTGATTCAAACACCTCCCCACAACGCCTGCTGGCTTTCAAAATTCCTTTTTAACTCCTCGATGATAAACACAGCCCAGCACTTTTATCAACTCCATGGCACTTGTCGGTGCCGATGAGTGCATCTTCCCAGGAGACAGGGACGCAAGTCAGAATATTTTGTTGAGTCATGTGTACTCAGCAGCTCTTTCCCAAACACTGCATCAGAGCCGTAATTGGCAGCACCCAGGACTCTGCTGGATGACACCACATGTTCAGGAAAACTCCGTTTATTTCTCCAGAAATTGTAGTCTCACTCTCTCCATCAGTCTGGTTGTCACGTCCTGTTCTTAAGAAAGCCGAACCCCTGGATGGGGCCGCGGCACAACTGGTGTTGCAGATAAGTCTGAAAATATGGCTGTTGGTTTTTCCCACCCACTCCGGCTCTTAGCAACAGGACAGCCGATGGTCTCCACTAGGGAAAAAAAAGCACAGAACCTGTGGGGGAGCCTGTCTGAATTCTTGCCTGAAGTCTGATTTATTTAAACCTTCCTGCATTCTTGGGTATGGAAACCCAGGAATCATAACATGAGAGAATTCCCCTGCCCTTCTGGTGACCCCGGCAAATGAGCAGGCAGAGAAAAATCTCAGAATGAGATAGACTTTTTTCCCTGCAGAATCTGCCTTATCTGGGCCAGGCATTTCCTTTGATTTGGGGAGTAACCATTGGAAAAGTTGGATGCAGTTATCCAGGGAGGTGGGCTGGGGTGGGGTTCTGGAAAGAGCGCTGGGCTGGGGTGGGGGTTCTGATGCTCCCTCTTTTCATGGGGACTGTCTCTCCCTCCCCGTGGGACCTTAGGCAGGAAAGCCCTGGTGCTCTCACTTTCGCCTAGTGTTGACTTTCTAAACTGCAACGTAAGGAGATCGAACTGGATGTTCTCTGAGGTACCTTTCAGCACTGAGTCTATGGTGGTAGTGGTGGTGGTGATGGCGTGTGTGTGCATTTACAAAACTTTATTTTGTATCATATATCCATCTGATTCGCCCTCTCTCCCTGCCTACCCCTCTCTTTCTCTCTTTCTCACTTTAGAGTTATTCATAGTAAAGAAAGAATTTGGGGCAAAATCTGAAGCCCATGTTCTGAACCCTTAAAGACATACATGTAGAGGCATCATGAAGTTGCTATTTTATGTTCTATCCATTGATCTTTATCTACATCTATTAATCCATGGGAGGACTAGGGAGTTGCAGAGGACTTCAGCTTTCATATAGTCAGAGAGATAGGGATTTGCATGCTTGCTCCGCTTCCTGACAGTTTCATGGCCTCAGGATTCTTAGCTGTAAAATGGGAATAACAAAACCTGTTCGGTCAGGTTGCTCTGAGGATTGGGTGAAGTGACGTCTGAAACACCTGGCACAGTGTAAAAACACCTGCTGCAGAGTAAGTACTCAGGAAAAGAGAAGTGAGTTTGTGATATTGATTCATTATATAGATTTCTTGATGGCAGAGACTTGCCTTAATTATTTATCATGAAGCCCCACACATTTTGTGGCACCCAGAAGACAGTTGTGTATGCTGAGCCACACAGATGCAACACACACACACACACACACACACACACACACACACACACACACACATCAAGGAATGATAAGTTTCATGACTTCCTGTTGCTGGAACTTCTTTCTCAGGCTTTCCATTTTCTATGACTAACTCATAGCTGAGATAACCGATGTGATTTGGCGGTGGTTGGCTGTTTCTTATCCAACCTGAATGTTCTTCAATTATTTTCAAAATATGAACAGTTGCTTTCAAAGTACTTTGATTTTTTTTTTTAACAGGGTGTTATCAGGATCTCTCTCTGTATATTTACCTTTTCTTTTTATTGAGCATTTGCTATGCAGCAGGCACTATGCCAGGTGTTTTACATCTGTTATTTCAACCATCCTCACAGCACCTCTCTCAGATAGGTTTTGTTATTCCCATCACACAGTTGATGATCTTAAAGCTTAGAAAGTATGAGTCATCTAAGACACTGTAAAGGCCACAGCTGTTAAGCAGCAGAATAAGAATTTGAACTCAGATCCCCCGAGTATTAAAATAAGGGCAGGGGCAGAGAGAGCAATCAATCTCACGTCTTATTATTGAGCCTGCTACTTTAGGGGGGAAAGCCATCTACTTCCTTATTATGTTTAGAGAAGCCTGATGCTGTGCTCCTGGCTATGTTAAGTCCATTTTATATGATCTTATTTAATGCTATTAACAGTCCTGCAGGGTAGATATTAATATTAGACCTAAATACCAGAGGAGATCATGATTGATGTGTAGATTGATTAAGCAATAAGCCCAAGTAACGCAGGCTGTAATTGGTACAATATAACTTAGATAGTCTCACTGTACAGTAAACTCTTCTTATAAGTCTTATCTACTGATTTTGTTCGTGTCCATGAGGTTCTGTGGTCTCTGTTATTCTGAGGAGCAACGCTATGGCTTATCTAGAATGTAACTTCCACTCTTTTGGGGGATGCCCATCACCAGTCTTTCCTCATTCCTGAGAATAAACAATGTTGAAATACTCCTTCAAGAGGTCATCTAGTTCACTGGTTTCTAACTGTGGGGGAGGACCTATTTACTGGGTTGTAAAATCAATGTAGTAGTCCATGACCAACCCTTAAAAGTGAAATGATTAGACTACAAAAGATAGAGTGGATTGCACTTAGGGTGAAATAGTGTTGAGAAACAGTTGTTTGAGTCATTTGTGTGTATGTGCTCTGAGTCACTATGTGAAGTGCATTGCTTATTGAGGGTGATGTTTAACAACGTTTGAAAGATGTGGGCTTCATTTCATAGTTTTCAAATAGTTTTGTTCCATGGCCTCCGAAGAGCGGAAGTTGGGATTGGAGAAGTTGAGTAGGAAGAGCCTCTTCTAGCTAAAGTTGAGTAGGAATGCTCCCTCTTCTAGCTACAGTAGTTCCATGTTTATCTGGCTTTCATGTTGGATTTTCAGATAGTATTTCATCTTAAAAATAAAAGGACTTAACTGGAAAAAAAAGAATGGAAGAGCCATTGATTTACTTCATTGGGATTGTGTTGCATTGACCATTGATTAATTTTTTGTGCAACTTCACGTGATAACGAAGGACCAGCTGTGCACCCAGCCCTGTGATGGCTGCCATAGAACAACAATGTTAGAAAATGGGATCATCCCTGTCCCTAACTGTCAGGACCAGCTTGATAACAACTGGTCACTGAAACCAATTAGAGTGAAAAAGTACATGAAGATGTTCAGAACTTGACAGCTTCCTTAAAAAGGTATACAAAACATTATTACAAGAAGAGGTGTGAGAAGATCAAAGCTGGCTGAAACAATGAAGACGAAATGGAGTGCAAAGGATTATACTTTGGTTAAGATCAACAATATAAATTTCTTTGACAATAGTTCATGACTCAAAGTTTGAGGTTGTTAATTGACTTCTAACTCTAAGTCAAGAGTGTGGCATAAGGCAGAACTCAAGGTAAGCCTGGATGCAGTCCCTGCATTCATAGCAGACATTATAATATACGCCCATAAGGGGATTGCCGAAATGGCTGAATACTTTGTAGCTTTTTCCATATTAGGTAGAATTTATTTTTCTGTTTCTCGATTTAGGGTTGGCCCTGTGATTTGCTTTGGCCAGTAGAATGTGGTAGAAGGGATGTTGTATCATTTTGAATCTATTCCTCAAGCAGGCAGCCTCCATGCTTGGACACTTGGACCACGGATACCAACATGTGGACAATCCTGGCTAGCCTTCTGGAGGGAGGCAGACAATGCAGAGAGAGTCCCTCAGTATCCTTGTCAGAGCTGCTCTAGAGCAACCAACATCTAACCGGTCTGCCACCCAACTACAGACTCATAAGTGAGCCCTGATGAGTTCAACCACACCCAGCCCAGACTAGAGAAATTGCC